CTTCATCCCACGAGCCGTAGCAAGGTATATTTAACCGTTATTCGCTATAAAAAACGCGACGAACGGCCGTTTCTCTCCGTCTCCGTCTATCTCTCTCTCCGCCCGATTATATCCATCCCCTTTCCACCCATACTCGGTAATGCGAAACGACTTTTCGCTTTTTCTAGCGACTTCGCGGAAGAAATAGTGCCGGAACGCATGCGCAGCGGGGATTACGTCCGCCGGCTTATCTCGGGCAAGCACAACACGAAGAAGGACACGATAGAGCCGGTCTCATGGTACGAGGTACCCGATCGAGGTAACTTTGGTAATCTGGCGTGTGTTAAGTATGTCGCCGGCAAGCCACACTCGATCAGGAAACCCTACTTCAAGGTCGCCGATTTACGCCCGTCCGACATCAAAAACGATGTCAATTTTCTCAGTTACTACAGCAAGAACCGCGAGGCGGCGGCTAACGCCTGTGAGTAATTACATACCGAGGATCACAAAACGATGATTACACGAACACAGACCGCCTACAAACTCGTGAGGACGCGTGTGACGCGCGTGTTATCGAGCTGTCCTAAAATTTCTCTTTTTATTATACATTGTTTTGCACGAGAAATTGCACGATCTTTTTTATACTTGTCACTAAGATATTTATTTATTTATTTATTTATTTTATAATTTTTTTTTAATCGTAAATGGAAAAATGGAAAGAACTTCTAGGACAGCTAGATATATATATATATATATTTATTTTTTTCGATCGAATCTTTGTCGGGAACGGACGATACGAACGAATGAAAATTTTTTTATCCAAACACGGAACATGTAGAAAGGAAGATAATAGAAATAATAATAGTCACGTTATTACGAGAAAGATCGAATGACGAATAATTATCGAAGATACATAATTATTAATCGTTACATGTGGAAATCGAAAGAAAGTGAAAAAAAAAAAAAAAAAAGGGCGATGTTATTCGGCATTACTTTCCCGTATATTTTTTTAATATAAGATATATCTTGAAGAAAATTTTGGAAAAATAAAAGCGGCCATGTGACGCCGTTGTGTGTACCTTTCTTTTTTTGGTTTTTCTTTCCCGCTCGGTTTTCTACTCTTTTTTTCCACTCTTTTTTGGATGGATTGCCATTGGATTCGCTCTGATCTGTCAATTTTTTTGCTGTGCTGTGTTACTCTTGTTTTTTTCTTTTTTCTTTTTTTTTTCTTTTTTTTTTTTTTGTTTCCCTCGTTCGTTACGTAGTTTCCTCTTCTACAATCTTTTTTTTTTTTTTTCCTCGTTCTTTTATGTATGTATGTACAGATTTTACTGTTATAAACTGTGTCTAATTAAAATATGTACACGTAGCGACACGAAGGTGTGAGACGTTGTTTTTTTGTTCGTCTTTTTTCGTTTACTTTTTTCGTTTTGCTCGTCTCTCGGGTTCGTCGATTTTCTCGACGAATTGCGGCGGCAATCGACGTCGATATTTCGAGTTATGGAAAAAAAGAAAAAAAAAAGGAAAAGAAAGAAAGAAAGGAAAAAAAAAGAAAAAAAAAAAAAGAAAGAAAGAAAGAAAAAACTGAGATGAAAGCAAGATTTTTCACACGAAGGGGAGAAGTGCAGTGTCGGGCAGAACCAGATGACTGGGACACGTAAATAGGGGTAGAAATGGCAGAGGAAGAACCAGTTGGGCTTTTTTGAACGTTTCAGGCAAAGGGTGGAGGAATCGGGTTCCAGAGCTGTACGAGGATCCGACAAAAATGAAACGGAAGGAGGAGGAAGGGAATGAGAGTGAAGCAGCTGCCGAAGAGTGACGACGCTCGCGTTATTAAAATATTTTTTCTTTTTTTTTTTTTTTTTAACTGAAAATCGGATGAACGTTTACTCCGTTACCGCCGCTAACGCTTTCTTTTTTTTTTTTTTTAACTGAAAATCGGATGAACGTTTACTCCGTTACCGCCGCTAACGCTTTCTTTTTTTTTTTTTTTAACTGAAAATCGGATGAACGTTTACTCCGTTACCGCCGCTAACGCTTTCTTTTTTTTTTTTTTTCAATCGTGTTGGTTTGATCTTTTTTTGAAAGTGGCCACGCCCGTGATTGTGAAAACGTGCGGATTTTTGGAAATTTGAAGAAAAAAAAAAAAAAAAAAAAAAATCTTTCGCACGGAGATGTACAATGCGCACAGAAATTAGAAACCGACCGATTGTGAATTTTTGATTGAGAAAAAAAATTGATCGAACTTAATTAAAGGATTGATTAACAACACTTTTCGTGTCGGTTTTCGCACGAGTAATGACGAAAAGACTGAAAAAGATAAAAAAAAATAAAATAAAACGTTAACAGCGGTTACGGAGTAATCGTTCATACGATTTTCAGTTAAAAAGAAAAAAAAAAAAATAAACAAACTCTCTACGCGATTTCGAGAAATTCACCAATTACTCCTTGTGTATATATATACTAATTACGTAAAACTTGTCCGATAAAAAAAAAGAAAAAAAAAAATAAATATCCAAATAAACCAATGTCCGATGATTAAAAGAAAAAAAAAAAAAAAAAAAAAACAAAAAACGACACCGTCAATTGTTTTCCTTGCACAAATAATCGGAAAGATTAGAGGAGCTGGCTATCCGGGTGAATATGCGTTTCGTTCGAGGTAAGCTTATCATGCGTGCTTTTGCAGATTCTAATAAATAATAAAATCAGGCCGATTGATATTTTTCTCGTTGAACCGAGGTTGAGTGGTTTTTTTTTTTTTTTTTTTTTTTTTCTTTTTCTTTTTCTTTTCTCGGTTGTCGAGAAAGGAAATGATTAATCATTGATTGCAACAAGAGCGATATTAAGAAAAAAAGACTGTACAAAATGATATCGCTAAAATCTTGAAAGGGGTGTGTACGAGAAACAAGGGACGAATATCCTCCCCCCCCCGTGCCACAACCATGTTTAAATATTGTACATATGTGATATGCAATTATCCTAACGATAATCGTAACAAAAAAAATATCGAACCCATTTTCATCGAAGCGACAGATGCGGTGGAATCAACGTTAAGTATATATATATACATATATACCGTGTGTCCTTTTCTTTTAATCGACCATCATTCGTGTTTGTATAACAGGAAATAATCGAAGCAAGACGAGAGCGATAATTTCATCATTTTTTTTCTCTCTCTCTCTCTCTCGTGATAATAAATTACATCGTAATATATCGTCGTAACAAAAAAAAAAAAAAAAAAAAATCAATTTCAGGAATAATTTCATATTCACCGATATATCCTGAAAATTCTGAAATCTTCTAATATGCTAATTCATTCTCAGTCGCACACCATCGTATGTTTGAACGTTTAATTCTTTTCTTTTATCGTTTCCTACTACGAAGCTTTTTATCATTATTGTTGTATAAAATTAAATTTGTTGATTAACAAAAGCGTTAATATTTCTAACTTCTT